AGCCCTGATGGAGTACCCCAGGGACTCGGGGAACCGCATGTCTCGCCTTGCTGACTGGTAGACCAGTCCTTCCCCCACACAGTGAGAGGATACACAGGGAAAGGTGTGCTACCCACCATGGTGTTTAGGGAAAGGAACATCCTCAGTTTTTTAGGGGAAGCCAGCAGCAAGTCTGTAGCAGGTCTTCAGGAAGACAAAGCCACCAGGAGTTAAGCCACTCTAGCCTGGTCAGAGGTAAGTCAGTTGTAAATAGTCTTCAGGAGTCTCAATTCTTCCTGTTAAGAAAGAGTCAGTTCGCCCTGGCCGGTTTGGCTCAGCGGTTAGAGCGTCGGCCTTGGTCCAGAGAGACCTGGGTTCGGTTCCTGCTAAGAGCATGTACCTCGGTTGCAGTTTGTCCCCAGCCCTGGTTGGGTCGTGCGGGAAGGCAACCACTCGATGTGTCCCTTTCACATCTCTCTCTCACTCTCTCTCTCTCTCTCTCTCTCTCTCTCTCTCTCTCACTCTATCTGAGCAAAAAATGAAAAATGCCCTTGGGGGAGGATTAAAAAAAAAAGAGTCAGTTTATTCTGGGTGTGGAATGGAGTGCCTCAACTATCAACAGAGACTCTTTGAAAACTTGTTTATATGCTTAGCCCCAGTGATTCCCTGCTGGGAGTGCAGCTAAGGACATAAGTAAATGTTCACTGCAGTGTTATCCATGATGGCAAGAAATTAAAATGGAGTGATTCGGTTATCTGATAGCAAGGGGGTGGTCAAGTAAATTAAGCTACATTAATGCACTGAAGTATTGTGCTGTTTCAAAAATGACAAAGATAAAGACAAATACTAATGTGGCAAAACTCTACAATAGGTTGTTAAAAGGATCAAGTCAAATACCAATGGATCTATATCTGCACTGTGAGCACACCAGGTACAATTCTGAATCCATGAGTACAAAACTAGAGCATTTAGTATAGAAAAATAAGTATGTTATTTTTGTAAAAAGTTTTTTCTGATTTTTTATGTTGATTTTTTAACTGGAAAAAAATCTTTTGCAGAAATATATAGTTTAATGACATAGGAAAATGTTTAACATTAATTAATAAAATGTTTGTTATAAAAGACATATGTATATGTAAAGCTAGACAAAAAAAGATTGATAGATGGATGCAAAATATAAATTACCAGTAATGTCTCTAAGTTGTGGACAATAGATGACTTGTTTTTTTTCTCTGTGATGTTATTTTTTTCTAAACTTTCTACAAAAACTGTGTCTCTTTTGAAAATTAAAAATATCAGTAGATGACTGATAGGAGATAGATAGATAGATAGATAGATAGATAGATAGATAGATAGACAGATAGAGTGGATGGATGGATGGATGGATGGATGGATGGATGGATGGATGGATGGATGGACAGACGATGGATGGAATAGATGAAAGATAGATGGGTGGGTCACATGGGTTAATGAATAGTGGGTAGATGACAGATGATGATAGTGAGATAGAGAGATAGAGAGATAGACAGAGCAAGCTTTCTTCCTTCCCTCCCTCCCTCCTTCCCTCCCTTCCTTTCTTCCTTTCTTCCTTTATTCCTTCCTTCCATCCACCCAAATCCCTTTCACTATGATGAAATCAAGAGCACAACCTTTCAAAAGAAAAAGTAGGCAGTGGCCACTGTTACAGATCATCTGTCCTCAGCTCCATCTGCTGCTCTAGGACAGGATGGAAGAGGAGACTCCCCTCCAGGGCCACCGTGCCCAGCTGACCTGTCTGCTCCAGCTACACTCCAGCAGGTGAGGGTGACTAGCCATGGCTGCTTCACATCCAGCCTGGGAGCCTGAGAACTGCACACTCACAGGCTCCAGGGTCTCTGTTTCCAGAGAGGTTTCAGGTTTTTCCCACCAAGGTCAAGCAGAGTACCTACAGGATATCTCCAATGTTTGCTTTATTCATTTGTTCCTTTACTTATTTGTTGAGCAGTTGCTGTGTAATGATAAATGATTCTGATAACGCCAGGTGATAAGTGCCCTAACCCAGATTTGCTCAAGCCCCACTAGCCCCCCTCCCAGCAGGGTTGGGGTCATCTGAGCTGGACTTGGACAGTGACTAGGATGTCAACAGATAGATCATGGGAATGAGGGTCTCCCTGGTCAGGGGAAAACATGAAAAACACGAAAGTATGGAAAGAGAGCTCTTTAGGGAACAACAGGCTTTCTGTGCAGTGGGTACCCCATGCGGAGGGGGTGATGGGGACCATGAGAGGCTTCTGGAAAGAAGAGGATCTGTCATAGGGGCACTCACATGTGACCAAGCCAGGTGTCAGGGGTCCTGAAGTTTGTACAAATGGGGAAAAGGGGCTTTTAAAAAAAAGGATACAAAAAAATTGTTCCTTTTTGCAAAGTTTATAAAAACAAATGGCCATGTGACTACATTACCAGGGTGCCCCCCAAGAACCTGTAGAAGTGAGGGACCCAGAGGGTTGAACCTCACTGGCTTCACATAAACCCACCTCTGCCTCATCCTGTGGGTACAGGTGACGAGCAATCACTGAAGGGTCTTCAGGAAAAGAGTGAAATGATAAAATCAACCTTTCAGAAAAATAACGTATAACTCTTCATACCCATCAATTCTTTTAATTTTTTTTTCACCCGAGGACATTTTTGCATTTACCTTCAGACAGAGCTGGAGGGAGAAGGGAGGAAGAGAGAGAGAAACATAGATGTGAGAGAGACACATTGACTGGTTGCCACCCACACAACCCCAACTGGGGCCGGGGACAAACTGCAACCGAGGTACACGCTCTTAGTGTGAACCGAAACTGGGTTTCTTTGGTCCGCAGGCCAATGTTCTAACCACTGAGCCAAACTGGCCAGGACCATACCCATCAATTCTTAATCAGGCAAAGCAGCAAGGGCCCTTGTCACTCAAGACACCACTGTCTCTCTTACAGCTGAGCAAAAGTGAAAGAGAAAAAAGTGAAAGAGCCGCCCTGTCGCCTGCCTGTTTCCTGCCCTTCCAGGGACAAGGACAACACCCCCACTCCCACAGTGTGTCCTGGAATAAAATACGCCCTTTTGGCACTGTTGAGGCCCAATGTCTTGGGCAGATGCTGCCAGACAAGTCCTCCAGCCAGCTGATGACCCTGTGACTGCCACTGTGGACCTGGTGGCAATGGAGTTTGTCTATTTCTGGCCCTGCAATTTCCTCTTGTTCGTTCTTTTGTTCCCTGGGCTGTGATAGGTGTGCATCAGACCACAGTGCAGTTATTCTGTGTCATGGTGGATCACAAAGCCTCGAGCTGTGAGACTGTTAGGCTGACGCTGCCAACAGATGTGTGTAACAAGCAAAGGCTGACACCCCAACCACCGCTGGCCCCATGTGGGGGAAGCTATGTGGCACCCTGGTAATGTAGTCCCACCCTGGACCTCAGTGTCCCTGCTGTGCCATCAGGTGGATGGATCACAGAGCCTCACTTGAGGCTGTGAATGAGAAATAGCCCATAAAAATCTCTGTAAAACTCTCTCCACTTATAAAATGCTATTAAAGTAATGACTATAGATTATGATCAAAATTGAAGGAGGAACATATGCCCAGCTGGGCCCTCCCAAATCTCACTCCTTGGCCCAGAGGGCCCGGGAGAACATAAGACTACCCTTGACTCGAACAAGTCACAACGGCTTCTTCAGGGACAGGAGCCAGGCATGGGTGACCTGCATGGACTGAGTAATCAGTTTTTCCAGCACTTTTTGGCTGGCATTTCCATCCTTAACCTCAAGATGTCACAGCCTTGAGGTGCGGACCTGTGTGCTCCCTGGTCTTCTCACGACATTCCGTCCGATCTCGAGAGCCGTCAGTGCACAGCTAAAAGGGCAATCCAGGTAGTTTTCAAGAATATTTCAAAAAGAAGAAAAAAATGTGGTAGATCCAAGTAAGCAATTAATTGAGCAGAACTTACTTCCTATCTTGAGATGATACCTGGTTCTAATTTACAGGTGTGAAGATATCCCGAGGAGGAAGCTCTTCTGCAGATAAGCTAGAAACGGGTCTTTTCTTTCATTAATTATAACAGTGTTGTCTTCAGTGTGTAATATCAGCCTTTATTTCTTCACCATAACTCAAAAATAAAATAAGCCACCCCTACGAATAGCTTTGAAATGAAAAAGATCAATGTGGAGAACATTTTGACCAATGCAATACATAGCACTGGGCTTAATATCTCTGCCTCACCTGAAGACCCTCCCTTTTGTACAACTAGATGTCAAATGATAGAATGGTCACGGTAAAAAAAAATGTTTATTTAAATTAAATATTTTAGACAAGTCAATATCTACAACCATTCCAAAGCATGTGTAGTTTTAGCAAAAAAAAAAAAGGAACAGTTTAGCTTAATGTCTGTGATCATGTTTTACAAGATTATTAATACACATTCTGGACTGCACCAGTCAATCATAGTGTCCATGGTTTACTATTTATTACCAAACATTGTACACAGTAATAGCATAGAGATTAATCATATCTTATAAGTGATTTTACAATCGGACTCCTTGGAAGAAAAAAAGGGGGGGGGTCATTCAACAATACAAAATATAAGGTGAAAATAATAGGAGAATATATAAAACACATATTTTATACAGGCAATAATAATATGCAGACATCCAAGGACAAACAGCTGCCATTTCGCTCACTGTTAGGTATGTTCCTTCAAAGGAGGTCTGAGAGGGTAGAAATGTTCGGGGGCAGGGGCAGGACTCAGAAACCTTTTCTGAATTCCAGTGGGCTTCTGTTCTTCGGGAAGGAAGCACAATGAAGGTGCAGCGGAGTTTTGAAGTGTTGTCTGAGGCTGTTCCCTAAAGAACCAACTGGCTGATGAGGAAGACAAATTCCCTTCCCAGTCATGAGAATCAGGCTAGGAATGTTAAAGTCAAGGGATCTTTGAATTAGTGGCCAATTCAGGGGTGGAGGAAGAGCAAAGAAGAGAAAAGGAAATCTCTGGAAAGGGGGAGAAGGAGATGGAGACAGCGGGAAGAAAGCTCCTTTCGCATCTGCAGAGGGGAGGGTGTGCTGAAATTTTGCTCAATAAACCAAGACGTTCAGATTGGAGGAAATTCTTTTTAGGTTCCCTGCTCTTTGGGTTATTAGGATCAGGGAGCTGACAAAAAGTTGCCAGTGTCAACAAAAGTATCTGATGTAGGCTGCACAGACACGCACGTAAGGGTATGCATGAAAGTGTGTTATATTGCATGTTTCTCACACACTGTATGTATTCAGGCTGTGTATACTCTCTTGAAATGTGTGTGTAATAATTGAAAAGAAATGATCTAAAAATATATTTTATAAATACAGCTTGAATTCAATCTCATTTTCAGGGATGCGGTCAACCTTAGTGGTTAATTTCCCAAATCAAGGTAAGTGTTTTTTCTCACGTTGGAAAAGAGTCCTTTTGGACAACTAAGATCATTTTGGAAGGCAGGACAAGCGCAGAAAGCCCTGTGTCCTTGGGCTGTGCATGCAGAATTATCACAGGGTACGCCTTACGGAGCTTACTGAGTCAAACTTTATTTTCCTTTGAGCCTTGGAAGAATCCTAAATCAGAAAACCCTGGAGCAGAAGGGACCTTAGATATTAAATCTGTCCCTCACTTTACAGATGGGGACAGTGGGGCAGGCTGGAAGGGAAGGAGAAGCCAGTCAAGGTGTCACCAGCCCTCTGAGGATCCTGGGTCTCTGGATCCCAGCCCAGGGCTCCCAGGTAAGAATGCTGCTGGGCTTTTCACACATTTGTTTCTGAGATGGGAACAGAGAGAAGAGATCCATGAAAATTCCACCTGGAACAAGCGATTTTCAACAATTCCCTTGCCCTATTCCCAGGTGTAGCCAATGAAAACCCATTTGAAGGAATATACTCAAAACGGAGGCTTCCGGGATGGGGATTGGGGTGGCGGGGAGGGGGATGGAGAGGGACCTGGGATCTGCAGACCTGGTTCCCTGGGGCCCGCAGTGCGGACGTGCCCGTCGGGGTGGCAGCACGTCCAGGCTGGCTATGCTCAGTGCCCAGGACGGAGAGTGGCAGCGTCAAGGCAGGGCTGGACCGGCGGCCTCCGGCTCTATGATACGCTGTAGCTGTTGTAGTACGTGGCCGTGGCATCAGCCAGCACGGAGATGAGGCTGGTCTCTGTGGGGCCCGTTGGTGTCACCTGAGAGCCTGGGGCATGCCCACCGAGGGCCACGGCCCCAGCAGCAGAGTCTGGGTGGCCAGGAGTGTTCAAATACTGGTCGAACTCATTACGATCCATGTCCCCCAGGAGTTCCACCTGGCTCAGCTGATCCAGCGCATCAAAGCCGGGGTGCTCCGGAGGTGGGGAGAGCTGGCCCAGGTGGGCATGGAGGTTGGCGTGGAGAGGGTGGTAGGTGGCAGGAGAGTAATATGCAGGAGACGGGGGACAGCCGGATACAGTGGACATCATAGAGACACCGGGGGACTGGCCGAGGGCCAGGGAGCCCAGGGAGTGACGGCAGTGGAGAGGGCTGGGGGCGTACTCGGGGGAGTAAGGGGGCCGGGGCAGGTGGGGGATGCGGTGGGAGTGCGCGTGCTCCTCCTGGCAGGGGGAGGAGAAGAAGGTCTGCTCCGGCTCCAGCGCGTCCAGGGGCGACATTTCCGGGGGCGTGGGCAGCCCGTACGGGTACGTGTCCGTGCTGCCCGGGGTGCCGCTGCCCGCCGGCCCCTCGTGGTAGCAGCCCCGAAGGCTGGGCAGGGCGGCGCCCGGGGAGTACTCACCCCTGTCCTCTTTGTCCCCCAGCGGCCCCCGGCTGCTGCCCCGCTTCTCGGGCAGGGCGTTCTGGTCCCGGGAAAGGGAGCTCAGGAGGAAGCCGGGGTCCACGCGCTTGCAGAGGCGCTTGGCCTGCTTCTTCCTGCGCGGGCGGTACTTGTAGTTGGGGTAGTCCTGCATGTGCTGCAGGCGCAGCCGCTCCGCCTCGTCCACGTAGGGCCTCTTCTGCGACAGTGTCAGCGCCTTCCACGACTTTCCTGTTCACACAAGTCAGAAAAGGCCACTTTCAGCATCTGCGCGGCTTGGGGCAGCCTGTGCACATGTCTCAGGCTCCTGCCTCCAAGCATCAGACAGGCACACTCTGTCCCACTTCGTACCCCCATCCCTTCCGTGGTCCCCTCTCTACAAAGGGCAGGAGGCACTCCTCGCATCCTCATCCCAGCCTAGATCCTGCCTGCACAGTGAGGCCAAACCAACGTCCACCACCTGCGTCCAGCAAAACCACTTCATACCGAGACACACATAGTCACGTCACCTCTCATATAATAAAAGCCATCAGATCACACAAACATGAAAACAATGCAGGGACTACAACATTGATTTGGGTTCTTTTAACCCTTGGAGAGCCAATTCTAATTATTTTTGCATTCTAATGAAAACCCTCTACCTTTGTTGGTTATTGCTGTGTCTCAGGAACAATATACTGTATTGTTACCCATTGCTGTGACTGTAATATTTATGTATGGCATAAACCTCATAGCCACCCCCCCCCATGTGGGAACCCAGGTAGAGTTAATAGTTTCACAGGCATAATTAAATTATAGGATCTCACTTAGTGTAACACGATTATCCTTTACACCTGAAGGTCAAATAGGACCCTGTTGTATGAAGACCTGACACTGTGGCCAGAATGCCAGCATCTGCCTGAAACATGCACATGTGCACACTCAGACAGCACACATGTACACACACACAGAGAAGCGCCCACACCCCAGCTTCCGGTTATCTACTTAGGACCCTTTGACTTGACTCTCCACACAGAAGGAAACCGTTTAACTTCCCTGGGTCTCTATTTCCCTCACTAGAAAATGTACTGTATTGTTACCCAACTCAAAACTCTTTAGAAAGCATCACACACATGCATCCCACTGGTACTAAAATGCTGGTGTCACTTGTCTTTCCTATTCGCCCTCACTCGTTTGTGTGTTGTTTTGTAAAATGCTTTAGTCTTTCAAAGTACATTGCACATCCCTCCAGCTGCAGTTTGCTGAAGGTCACTTCTGGATGCTCAGGTTGTTACTGCCTAGGGTGAACTCAGATTCTACAACTTTGACAAGCCCCCTTTCCCCATGGCTCTTATGTGTGCTGAAGTTCAGTCACTGCCTGGAGGATAGGCCCTGCTAAGCACTGTAAGGAAAGGGGCACATCTCCCACCTAGAGCCCTCTGCACAGGGCGGAGTAGAGCTGTGTGCATGGCCACCCCCCTCCCCCCCCATCCATCAGTGCCTGTGTCCGTGCTGGTAGGCTCCGCACACCAGTCTTTCAAAGAGGGCTGGAGGAGGGGAATTATTAAAGGTGTTCTACCATGGGGATGGAAATCTGTAACTATTCTGACAGTCATCAATGAATATAATTAGCTCTCACTTATAAGGGCAGCTTTAAAAGTATTAGGAACTCCGGATTTGGAGCTGGAACTCAGAGTTCCCAGACTAGGGCTGAGGCCACAGAGTTGCAAGAGGCCCAAGATCCAGACACCCCACCCCCCAACTCAATCTGTGAACTGAGTATATGAAATGTGACTCTAGATTCTAAGTGTATGTGGATGTTGCAGTATTAATAAAATATAGGTTAATTTTAAATGTGTAAGTGCCTTTATGCACTTTCTCATTCATAACATACTAAAAATACTAGCGTTACTGGGTGAAGTTTTGAATGTGGAAGATTAGAAAGCTTATAGTCAAAAAAGTTGGGACATCCAGTCCTTTCCTAAGTTCGAAAGGAAAGGGCTGGGCGAGATCATGGGGGTGGAAAAAGATCGTGCTATGAACAGATTAGAAAGACTATATTTGAAAAAGCAACACCAGGTTGGTTTCCCTCACCCAGTGCCAGGGGCTGTGTGGTTAAGCAGGAAGGAATCTGTGTCTTTCCTGCAAAATGAACTGTAACCTCTGAAGCCTAAGTGCAAACAGACAGCAGGGATCAGCGTATGGGAGGCATTTGTCACCCAAGTCCCTTTGCCTGCCCTTTCCCTGGGAGCAGGCAGCCTCAATCCTATAAGGCTCCCCAGACCAAGCTCATCTCCTGTCTCTGGCTCTGGGTCTGCAACAGAAACCCTGCTCTATCTCTGCAAGGAGAGCGTCTCAGAACAGCACCTAGCGCCTACCAAGAAAAAACTTTAGAGGCCCCCACAAAAGAAGTGTTGCATTTCGTTAGCAATCTGAGGGAAAATATGAACTTTCAGGTTGAGGAAATGTTGTATTGTTATGTATATTAATACACTTGTCTTTATGCCAACTGTGTAAAATATAATTTTAAACTTTTTTTTTTTTTAATGGAGGAAGGGGCTCACTAAGACACTGGCTTTCTAATGCTTCCTGGGCAGGGCTAACCAGGAGGCTGGGTGATAGAAGGCTCTTAGAAACCAGCACTCCATCAGCTGCATGAAAGTGTGTCTGGACTGCAGGAGGGACCCTCTCTGCAGGCCTGTGGCTTTAACCAGCAGAAAGGTGGGCATCAGTCCTCAGTCCATGGTTCCGACCCAGAAGGAGCTCAAAGCTCCAACGGAAAAGGGAAACTGGTTCCTTTGGTTCTGGGTCTGATGGGGTTGGGAGAACAGGGCCAGTCTCCAGTGACCACACATGTCCCTGCTCATAGGACCTGAGGTCTACTCCACAAGGAAGTGTTTTGAAAGAGAGGTTCCCATTGGTTAAAATGGATAAAAACCATGTGGAAGGGGCTAAGAGGTTAGAGTAGATCAGAGCTGAAAAGTGCTCAGCTCTAGACAGGGGAGAGACAAGAAAGCCAGAGAGGAACTTCGATTTTTCGGAGGTGCCCTAACATCCTCTCTCTGGGCTCCTCTGGTCTGGCTCGTCCTTGCCCTCAGTCCTGCCCCCCCTGCTGGGATTGCACAGCATCAGAGAAGCAACCCTGCCAGGGTGCTGGGCAGACAGACCCTCACCGCTGCCCTAAATATAGGAATCAAATGGACTAAACCGTTGTGATTGAGAAATGGAGTCTATTTGAGAAGACTTTTTTTTTCTGTTGCTTTAATAATAAAGTTAAAGCTGGGATGCGACTGGCAAGGTCTCTCTTCATGAATATTCGTTAATAATAAGTTACCACCTTCCACCTTGATGGCCAGTGGTAAAGTTCAGGGAACGATGGGTTTCCCACTCTGGTATGCTTAGCAAAGGCCAGTTCCACCGGATCTCAGCGTTTCTGTCCCGGCCACTCTGCACGTTTGGGTCTCCACAGCCCTGCGACTCGGGCCTGGTCGCTGCCCCGCCCCGCCTGTACCCTGGGGCCCCAATTTCGCTCCTGCCTTCCCGAGTGGACCTCCTGGGTCACCCCAGGGCCAAGTTGTTTCACTTTGGGCCTTGCCAAGGTGTCCCTACTCTGAATCCCTGCCACCGCGCTCACACCCACGCTCGCACAGATGCCCAACCTCGCCGGCACAGCGACGCCCGCGCTTCCCGCGAGTCCCCACCCGCCAGGTGCTGCCACTCTCCGCGCGCTCGCCCCAGGCGGTCTCTGCCTGCGCCCCCGGCCCGCGACCTCGCGGCGCACCCGCCCTCCCACCCGCCCGCTCACTCACCCAGCATTTTGCTGAGCTCGGCGTTGTGCAGGTCCGGGTTCTGCACCGCCAGACGTTTCCTCTCGTCCTTGGCCCACACCATGAAGGCGTTCATGGGCCGCCGGATACGGCTCTCTGAGCCCTTGTCCCCTGGCGGCCGGGGGGCGGCCGGAGGCGACAGCCCATCCGACAGCTCGGCTTCCAGGGCCGGGCACTCGAGCCCCTCGGGCCACGGGTAAGTTCCCAGCAGCGAGGCCATGGCCGCACGGGGGTCGTCTCGTTTCGCCTCGCGGGGCCGGCGTTGACCTGGCCCTAGCACAGGTCGGGGCGTCCAACTTGGCCGGCAGCCGCGGCCCGGCCCCTTATTTATCAGCTTCGGGCGGTCACGTCCTCCAATGACTCTTGAAGGCTGCTCGGCCCCTCCCTCCGTCTCGGCGCGGCCCCCTCCCTGCGTCCCTGGCCGCCGAGTCCCCGCTCCGACTTGCCGGGAGCAGGAGAGGAAAGGAGGGCCGCTTCCCCGCGCCCGCCCCCAGCCCGCCCCTCCGCCTCCCGGGTCCCTCCCGGGGATCCGCGTCCCGCAGTCCGGGGCCGCCTCCTGTCCCGCCCGCTGCCGACACAGGTGCCGCAGAGCAGGGCGGCGGGCAACGCCCGCAGTCACCTCGCCCGAGAGCAGGAGCCGGACTCGGGCCAGACTACAAGTCCTCCCGGGCGTGGAATCCTACGGAGAACCGGAGCCTATCAGGTTTCGCTGGGAATGGCCCGGAGCGAGACACGTTGACCATGAAAACCCCCAGAGCAGCCGGTGAACCGTTCTTAAGAGAACACACCTACAACTTTTCTAAAATGACTGGGCCCCCAGCCAACTTTGGTGACCACTAGAGGCTAACACGGGCTGGGCTTGGATCCCGCATCGGGTTCCACGCAGTAACCACCGAGGGCCCCGCCCTGGTGTCTCCGCAGCATCCTGGCTCTTGGGAGAGCAGGCTGCGTTCTCGCTTCTTTTCCACTCTAACACCTGATTTCTCTCTTCCGACACTCTTCTCACCACCCACTGTAGTCCCCGGTGTTGGAACCTCCAGCTCCCTTGCCTCTAACCCTTCTCTCAAGGAATTCCTTCTCGCATTTTCTCTATTCTCCTCCCAGCAACTCCCACTGAGCGACGGGAGTCGCTCCGGCCCTCCCCCACCGCGTCCCCTGTGGTACGACTTGGGAGCTTCCCCTGAGTTCCCCTCATCCTGACGCCCACAAGGTAGAAGGAGCTGCAGGTTCTGGGCCTGCCCTCAATTCCGAGGGCTGCGGGCGGGGAGCTCACCGCCGTCCCTCGAGGGCGCGGCCCCTTCCCTGGACCACAGCTCCGTGTCACCCTGCTTCTGTGAGGATGGTTCCCCTGGCTCTTACGTCAGCGCTGGCACACAGTAGGCACTCAGGCACCGCCAAACAAGTGAATGGATAAAGGAGGGAATAAATATGGCTTAGACACACCCTACTGTATAAAACACCACAATCATAAGGCTTGACTAGATCCTGGAATTCAATCTGCAAATAAGTGCTGAGCGCCACCCCTGTGCAGTGCTCCTCAGAACTGACCCTCAAAGGAGGTAGCGCCGTCTTGGGGGAACTGGGGATCTGGAGTCAGGGCCTGAGTCAGTGTTTGGGTTAATGCGTGACTGGAGGCAAGTCGGCATAGACCCTCCTTTCCTAATCCTAAAAGGAGGACGGGACGATAAGAGTGATCCCACAGGGCTCTTGTGATGATTAGATGAGATAATATATGCGAAGTTCAAACTCTATATATGATGGCAGATGTTGAGATAACTCTAGAGCCTGTAAGTTCTAAGTCTGGGTTGCAATGTCCCAGCCCGCAGTTAGTTGAGTCCACAGGCGCCTTGCAAAATGCTCTCCCGAGCAGCCCCACGGCTAAAACTCACCAAATGGACAGAGAAATGCAACTTTTCAAAGGCCCAATTTGAATTTCTAAAACCCCTGGTAATTTTCTAATTTTCCTATCCCTTCCAGCTAGGACCCCGTAGCAACACCCTAGGCCCATGGGCTCCACCCACTGCTCTCACCGGCCAAGGCTGACCAGCCAAGGGCGCCAGGTGCGCCAGGTGCGGCGCGCAGCGGCTGGAAAGTGGGTGCTCTGCAGCCAGAGAACCCGAGGTGGAGCGGTGGGCTGGCTGGCGCCTGGGGCCGAGCAGGGAGGGGTGGGGCAGGTTTGCAGAGAGAATGTGTCCACAGTCTAGGCGGGCTTCCCTACCCCGGGAAGCCTAGGCCATTTCCCGTGTTGGACACCTCTGCCAGAAATTCCTTTAGAAAAATCCCAGGCCAGAATGCTCTGGGAACTGCGGGGAGCTAGGGCCGCGCCCGTCCGGGGAAGGGCAGCTCGTTGGGGGATGGGGACGGTAGGGGTTGGAGAGGGGATCCCAGAAGGAGCACTTGTGCTACAACCCAGGACCCCAGGAAGAATTTGGCTTCGACCCTTTCTAACCCCACGGCCCTTCAGGGCGGAGACCATGCTTCATAGGGTCAGAGGCCTCTAGGGGACAGCGCCCCCTTGCCGGCCGCGGGCGTCCCCAGTCCGGCGCCAGCCTCTGGCTTCCTCCCAGCGCGGTTTCTGAGCAGAAAGCGCACGCAGTGGGGCCGCGCCCAGGCACCAGGTTAGAAAGATACGCGGGCCCCGGGCAGCACAGAGCGGTCACGTTGGATTCCATAGACCAAAGGCAAAAATGGAGAAAACAGCGGGGGCGGGGGTAGAGAGAATAGGTGTCACGATAGTTGTTTCCAATCGTTTACTTTCTTGCATTTCGTCCGGAGAGAGCGCTCCAACCTGGGTTTTCCAGGACCCGGACGTTAGCAGCCACATTGTTAGCACGGGCGCGGCCCCGATAGTGTGAGCTGTCTGCAGGCGGAAACCCGGGCTCGTTGGCTCGTTCCATTTCTCCATTTCTTCATTAATTTGCACCCATGCATTGATTCACTTGGGCAACTTTATGTCAGCGTGCCCTAGTGCCGGCGGCGCTCAGGGATGTGGGTCAAATGTGACTCTGACGCCTCTCTGGTTACTGCGACCTTCAATCCTCCGGAGCTCTGCACAGAGCCCAAGAGACCTCAAAGCTCGGGGCTTGGAGGGCTGAGCGAGTGGGCTAGGCTGGCGCCTTCCAAGGCATCCCTGACGCCTGCTCCGGCCAGGACCGCGGCCAGGTAGTTGTTGGTCCAGAGGCTCATCGGTCGGAACTGGGCGCAGTGATTCGCAAACAGCCGAACCAAGACCGGTCTAGACGTAAGGGCTGTCGTGCGGGCGTGTGCTGATGCTTGGACCCGCAGCGGGATGCGATGGGATTCCCGCAGGCAAGAGAGAGCAGAGTCGGAGCGACGGGTCTGTGTGTGACGACTCTGGGGCACAGTGGACATCGCGCGTGCCCCGTGCAACGGACCTGTCTGGCACACAGACCTGAGCCTTACTTTTCCGGTGTGTATTGCTTCAAGTGTTCTTCTGCTCCTCTTAAATAACCGTTTCTCTCTTTTTCCTTCCTTCCTTGCTTTTCCTCTCCTCTCCCTCCCTCTCTTTCCTTCCCTCTTCCTCCCTCCTCCCTTTCCCTCTCTCCCCCATCTTTTTCTTTTGCTCTAGTTAGTTTCCAGGAACACAGAACTTGACGTCAGAAATGCTGAGTACAAGTTACATTTACCTGATGTCAGCCTAAGCTTCTTTATTTGTTAATGAGGATAATGTAAGATTACTGATATAGTATTTGTGAAAGCACCTCATATATTTAAAGAACCGTGAAATGTTATAAAATAATGAATGGATGAAAATTGAAATAAAATTGACAGTCAGACCTCCAGAACTTTCCCTGGGGCAGCTTTCCTTGTTCTATCACAAACTGAAGAATTTTGGTGATGCTAGGGCACCAGAGCTCTGGCCCAGAACAAGTTCGGTGTTGCTGCAGTGGGCTGGCAGAGACACACCTCATGGTCCTCATCTTTGCAAGGGTTTTGTGTATGTGTTTTGCTGGCACTTTTTGTCCCTCACAGCAGGCTGGAGGTGGAAAGTATCACCAGCATCTTCTTTGCTCACATTAACTTATCCATACTTTACTGACAGTCTTTGTAAAGGTCATTCTCTGGCTCATCAGAGCCTCTACGCAGCCTCTGCGCTCAGAATCCACTCTTTTAACTCACAGAAATCTCCATAGTCATTCAGGAGAAATTCATCAAGGTCCCAAATTTAGAATAACTTGGGGGAATTCAGCCACACAGCATGGGTTTAAGATGTACCTATTGGCTTACCTGCATGGACTGGAAGCATGCAAGACCAAGGACACCTGGACAGAGTTTCACAGCATCTTAGGTTTAACAGTTTTTCTGTTGGGGACTAGGGGGAAAGCAATCGGATTTTCAGATGACATTGCTCTGGATTGTGGGGAATGTAGGCCCCCTGACAATATCCAAACCTTTTTGTAAGAGGGACTTAATAGTATCAAAACCCTGAGGTACAGAAACCCAAATTATCTTGGGGTCCCCCAGATCAGCTGTCCTGGTTACTACAGAACTCCCCTCTATAAATGCTCACTTGTTTGTGATTAATCACATCTCCTAATGAATGCTGGGAAGAACGTGGACTTGGAGCAGAGACATGAGTCCAGTACCATCTGCCACAAGTGTGGGTGCACATTTAAGCAAGTCACCTGCCCCGTGCACAGGTGGATAGCCTGGTGGGACCAAGGAGGTGAAGGCTTGCCTGTGTGCGTACATTCTCAGGGCAGCGCCGAGATAAGCTACTGCTCACTCTGGGGTGTGTATGTGCTTCTCCCGAGCACTGAGGGCTGGGAGAATTCCATGTCAAGGACAAACCTTGTCTACATTTATTTTCTCCCACTCCACTCTGCACAATGATCAGTTTTCCTTCTGTAAGGAGGAAGGATTACAGCACTGAAATGATCTTTATGTAGTTGGTCAGAAGCTGAATTTTCAAATTTAGGTAGAAAACAACAAATTACAGGAAAGACTAACAGTGGGTTCAGAGGATGTTTCTATCTCTTTATCCTATTGCCTAGTCTTTCTAAACGCCTAAGAAGAAGAAGGGAAACTGACTAGAAAAATGCTTATAAGTAATACAAAATGAAAAATAAGTCTTTTCTCAGGCTACCTATACACATCTGATTTCTGGGTAAATAGTGTCAGGCTAATGACCGACGTTATGAAGCAGCACAGATAGAGATCTCATCACGGAGAACTCTGTCATCAGCCAACAACTCTGCTGTGAGAAGCGGAGGGTACTTATTTGTTCAGCATATGAGGTTGCCTTAATGGATGAATTCCAAACTACCATTAT